AAAATAAAATAAAATAAAATAAAATAAAATAAAATAAAATAAAATAACCCTACATATTCTCTGAGCATGGTGGAACACATCTTTAATCCCAACACTTGGAGGTAGAGGCAGGTGGATCTCTATGAGTTTGAGGCCAGCCTCGTCTACAGCTCCAGGCCAGCTAAGGCTACATAGTGAGACCCTGTCTCAAAAAGACAAAAACCTGCAGGTTGCAGGTGCACAGCCAACTATTATTGGAACTGCAGTTCAGCTCTAAATGGCCGTGGTGAAGAGCTCCAATAAGCAACAGAAGCCTTGTCATGATAGCAGTGCTGGCTTTTACTGGGCGCTTTGGGGTAGTGACTGTTTTTATCATTAACCTCTTAGTAATGACATGCTCTCCACCGACTTTACTCATGCTGCAGCTCAAGGTTTCTGGTGTTTTACGCGCACATTTGTGCAGTCAGTGCATGAGCACATAGGTGGAGGTCAGAGGTTGACCTCAGATATCATTCCTCAGGTGCTGTCACCTTGTGCTTTGAGACAGGATCTTTCTCAAGGGTGTGGGGCTCTGCCTGTCTCTATCTTCCCAGTGCTGGGATTACAAGTGTGCACCACCATGCCTGGCTTTTTACTTGGGTTCTAGGGATGCCACTTGAGTCCTCAGGGTGGCACAGCATGCACTATACCAACTAAGACATCAACCCATCCTTGCTTTCTGGGGCAATTCTCCCTCCAACAGTGATGGAAACAGCGAAGAGGTAGAGTGCTTGCCTAGATGCACAAGGCCCAAGGGTCACTCCCACCAGTGGATGTGTGTAAATGTGGGCTTCACAGTTAAGGGCTGAAAACAAGACATATGGGAAGAAGTGAAAGGGTAAAGTGGGAGGCCAGCCTGGGCTACATGACACGCTGCCTCAACAAACATGCTAAGTGCTATCTTAGTTCTAGAGGTGTCTTTCAAAGGAATGTCTGGATAAACATACATTATTATAACTAGGTTCTTACTGTGACCCTAAGAATTTGCTTGTGAGAAAAGTATGCCAGGAACCGCCCTCCCCTCAAAAGGATCAATATTTTAAGACCTGTAACCACTCATTTATACACTCTTTTGGTCCTATCTAGCACCCTGCATCTGCTACCTACATAATTTATAACACACCACGTCCTTCCCTGTAAGCCCCTTCCTCACCCCCCCACCTCAGCATTGAAATTTCCATGGTGCTTATGAAGTCCCATTAGTTTAACTTTCAGCTTCGAAGAATTTTTATTAACCAGTATTCTTTGTTTGTTTGTTTTTCGAAACAGGGCTTCTTTGTATAGCCTCGACTGTCCTGGACTCGCTCTGTAGACCAGGCTGGCTTTGAACTCAGAGCAATCCATCTGCCTCTGCTGGGATTACTAGTATGGGCCACCATGCCCAGCTCTATCAACCAGAATTCTTAATTTCATCCATCAGGTCAGACAGCAATCTTTTTAAGATAACTAAGTCTTTGGTCTGGCACATTAATATACAATTGTTAATTTAGTTTAATAGAGAAGCTCATTATTTTTTAATCGTGTTCCTGAATAACAGTCCATTAAGAGGGAAAATCCTGTCACAGCCAAGGACAGAACTTTGCTAAGACTTGCAAAGCTACTTGTATAGGCTTGTCACACACACTCTACCAGATTACAGGGCTAAAAAATAGCACCCTGAAAGTGATGGACTCCATTGATCGAATCACTTGACCACAGAGGAAAATGATGAACATTCATAAATTACTTCTGTGTAACATGTAGAGGTGCTTATGTGTAGGTCTGTCCCTAGATCACACAAGGTGGCAGGAGAGAGCCCGTCCTGAGAGGCGGCCTCTCAGCAACACAGCCTTGCCTGCACAGGCAAGAATTTTCTTATTAAAAAAATAAAAATTAAAAAAAAAACATATAGATATAACGGGAACATGAAATACAGACATGTTTAAAATTATATTAAATTTAAATATATAAAATTATATTAAATTCATTAAACCAGCATAATCCCTCCCTGCATTGTAAATACACAAAGATAAATATAGCTCTCATCTCTTAACAAAGAAACTTCTCTTTGTAACATAGATTACAGAAAGTTAAAAGGATTCAAAATGAAGAGAACAAGTGATTACGAGGTGCCCTGCCCCTCCTCATCCATCTACAACACAACTCCTGCACCTAAGGCTCAGGGAACATCTCAGAAGAGTCAGAGGAACATGATGTCTGTTGTGAGATCCATTGAAGCTCAACAACATGGCTGCCTAAACAAGACCTGAACAATGACACCAACAGACATGTTAATATGGAAGAGAGAACTCTCATGGGGTCCCAACCCTAGACAAAAAAACTACAGTTATAGACAAAAATGAAAATCCCCCCCCCCCAAAAAAAAAGGAAATCCCGTTCTACTTTACCAATAAAGACTGAGGAGCCAGATGCTGGGGTGAAAACCTGCTAGCTCAGAGAGGCAGAGAAAGCACCCAGCTGACCTTCTTTCTCAGCTTAGGTCCAGATGGGGGGAAAAAAAAATCCAAAAGGCTTACTAGCTCTACTGACAGCCCAGGAGGAAAAGGCCAAAACAAAACAAAACAAAACAAACAAACAAACAAACAAAAAACCAAGGCCAAAGGCTTTCTAGCTCAAAGGCCAAAAAGGGAGGGAACTGAGGAACTGAAGCCAAAGCTAAAGCCAGAGCTTAAGCTAAAAAATCTTCCTGCTGTCTTAAATAGCCCTCCACTCAAAGTCCCTGCTACCCTTTAATTCCTGTCAGCTGGTTACTTGCTCCACTTCTTGTCCTAGGGTGAACGTTATTAAATCCTGTGTACAGAAAGCTCTTAGATTAAAGATGAGTGCTAGGGCTGGGTGAACCACACCATAATCACCAGTTTATAATAAAAAGTCCTTGGACTATGATAGGGCTCAACCAAACAGAACAAGAAACAGGGTTTTTACAGTTCACAATTTTGGGGTTCACAAATGGGATCAAATATCCTATAACACTATGGGCAGCTAAAAAATGCTGAAAGCAGGAAATAGTCTTCCCCAGGAAAGCACACCCTAATTGGCTATCCAATACCAAGTAGTCAGCCCTAAAAACAAACATACAAGAAACATAAAAACTGAAAAGGCTTATGTGTGTGTGTGTGTGTGTGTGTACCCCAAATATATATGTATATATAGTATATACACACATACATATTCCTGTATATTTAGGAAGAAAAGCTCAGCACAGTGGTGCCTGGCTATAATCCTAGGCAGAGGCAGGTGGATCTCTATGAGTTTGAGGCCAGCCTGGTCTACAAAGCAAGTCCAGAACAGCCAAGGCTACAGAGAAACCCTGTCTTGAAAAATCAAAAAACCAAACAAACGAAAAAAATAGGCCAGAAGCCATGAACGTATTTGAGAGAGCAAGGAGGGTAGTGTACATGGGAGAGGTTGGTGTCAGGGAAGGGAAGGTGGAAATTATGTAATTTAGTTTCAAAATGTTTTTTTAATTATATTAATGAGCCAGGCACAGTGGTACACATCTTAATACCTGCACTTAGGGCACTTAGGAGGCCTGCTAGATGTGCACAGTGAGACCCTGGGATTTTTAAAAAAAAAATTTTTTTTAAAGCTTTCTCACCGCTGAGGGAAACGTCCCACAGCTCTGCGGGAAGAACTGACTGGGGGTCGTGATACACTGAGGCACTGCTGCAAGTAACTGACGGGCCACCCTGCAGTGGCCAGGGGACGTGGCCACGCAGCACTCCTGCACGGCCTCTGCGTTAGCTCCTGCTAGGTTCCTGCCCTTCCTAAGTTCCGTCCTGACGTCCTTCAAGGATGAACTACAGTGTGGACGTCTAAAGCAAAGAAACCCTTTCCTCTCCAGTGTTCTTTTGCCTGCGGTGTTTTGTCACGGCAACAGTCCTCCTCACGAGGACAACTTCTGTGCAGTCCTCTCGTCCCCTGCAGTGTGAGCCCCTTCTGAACTGTGGAGAAGCACAGCACCAACAGTCCCTCAGCTCACAGCTGGAAAGGACTCAGCCTGTTCCAAGGCATGTCTGGCTCTCCTAAGTAGGGAAGAAAGCACCAACAATTCTAAAATGAGTACAACATTTCCCTGTGCTTGAAAAATGACACAGAACCCCAAGAACAATGGAAACCCACCTTGAATTCAAGCGTCACTCAGACCAAAATTCTCGGGCTGTAAGGCACAAGGTGAGCCAACTGTCCCAGCTACTTCACAGGCAGAGGCAGAATTGTGGATGAAGGCCAGCCTAAACTGTACAGGAACATAGCATCACCATGGGAGGGGGAGGCAGGTGGAGAACAGGAAAAGGGGAGAGGTGGAAAGAGGACTCAAATATTCCAGTCCCATCTATTTATTTATCTATTGAACATATCAGCTTCACCTATTTGTTTGTTTGTTTGTTTAATGACTGGCTTTTTGAGACAGGATCTCACTATGTAGCTCTGGCTGTCTTGGAATTCAATCTGTAGACCAGGCAGGCCTGAAACTCAGAGATCCACCTGACTCTCCGCCGAATGCTGGGATTAAAGTTGTGGGCCAGCACGCCCGGCTCATTCCAGGTTCTTGAGGGAGGCAGATGAGTATCCTTCCTTCAATTGGAATAGCAGCTCTGCACATTCTCTTCAATTACAACCTCAAGGAGGCCAAGGGACCAGCAGTGAAACCTCCCGAACGTAAACAGAAAGTGACTGGGTCTGAACGTGTATCATTTACTGAGTTTTAAAACAAGGCTAGTGGAGTTCAGTATGTTCTGCTTGACCTTCCACAGCCTGGAGGGAACAGAGCAGCTTTACTGTACTATTTAGATTAATTTCCCCAGAATTAAAAACTTTAGAATCAAACCACTTTAGCCTATAAAAGACTTTTAAAGACTTGCCTTAGTGCTCCCAAAAGCCTTTTTGATGATAGAGATCAACAAAACTCCACCCCACTTTCTCTGATCATAAAAATGTGTTTTTTTAATCTGTTACTTTTTAAATGACGTGAGACTAACGAGAACCGGCTGCCCTTAGCGTCGTCCTCTCTGGAGAAAATGACTCTGTGTTTCACTATCCTCTGCCAGGCCTTGCAGAGATAGGCTCTGTAGTCCGTGTCCCCCTCGCACGGGTGCCTGGAGGAGGAGGAAGGCCCCTCTGCTGAGTCTGAGGCTTTTTGCATTAGAGTTTGTGTTGTTGTGAAGAGCAGTAGGCGGTACTCGCTGACGAGTCTCTCCAGGAGCTGAGCACACTTCCTCAGCGTAGACTCCTGCAGGGCCACACTGTCGCCCCCACTGACGCGGTCTGTCCAGTAAAAAGCTGACAGGCTATCCACGATGAGGAGGCAGAGAGAGGGGTGACTGCAGAACAGAGCCTCCAGCGAGTGCAGCGTGAGCAGTAGCTGCATGCTGCTGCTACAGTACGCCAGGAAGAATCTGCCAAGGCAGAGCTTGATGGTCTCCTCCGAGCTTTGCGACAGTCTGTGCTCAAGGACTGTCACAAGCCGAAGCATGTCAAAGTGGTAGTCTGTATCAATGAATAAGACTTCTATCTGCAGTCCACCCTCTGATTTTGGAAGTATACATCGGGCTGTTAAATGATAAAGCATTTCTGTTTTTCCTGTTCCTTCTGGACCGTGAAATTCAAGAATATCACCTGTGTAAAATTAAAAAATGTCAGTCAAGATACAGCAATGCAACAGTGGGCCACAGAACAAGTCCAGATAACTTTACAGAGTTACTGGATTCTGAGCTGAAAATCTAAATCCACTTGTTAAAGTGGATCTGCACAGACAAATGCAGATACATAAGGAAATTCATATAGCATCTCTGAGAAAGGACCCAGTTTAAAGAAGTTTTTAGCTTTGGTTGGTGCTGAGGAGAAATCCAGGCCCTCAGCTGTGGCAGGAAACAGCTCTCCCATGGACCTACACTCCATCCAGAAATGAGAAGCCGGCCAGCACTGACAACATAAAAAGGAGTGACAGGGCTGACATGGCACAAAAGTGAAATGCCCCGAGATGGCCCACAAGACTCAGGGTCATGGCAACCTCATGGTCTTTGTTGGTTGAACCTGAGTTCAGGTCCCAGAGCCCACATAATGCTCCCGCGGTAGCTCTCCTGTGGTGAAATGGGGGTAGAGACAGAAGAATGCCCAGTCCAACCAACCTGCTGTGCAGTGCTGATGAGAGCATGTCTCAAAGCGGAAGGTGGGGACCAGTATCACACGTATACAGAGTAATATAAAACCGGTTTGAAGGACACAGTTGACCACACAAAAGCACCAGGTACAAACTGACGGCAGGTTTCCTTAGTCTCTCGGGAGCCTAGCACTGGTAGGAAAAGCCACTTCGGCAGCTATGGAACTGATGGCCAATCTTGAGCATCACTGATTGGATTAGGAAGCGCCTGGTCAGAGAGTAACGCCTTAGGGTGTGTCTGGGAAGATCTGCTATCATCCCTGGGTGACCTCATATGATATCATTACTGGAAAGTGAGAAAGGAGAAGGAGGGGCTTATCTGGAGGAAGCAAGTCACTGGAGGTGTGTCTCTGGAAGATATCCTGCCCTGGTCGCTTCATGACTCAAAAAGTGAAGAACTGTCTTTCCACATATTCTCACCTGACGGTAGCCTGGGGCCAAGTGAACATGGACGGAGCCCTCTGAAACCATGAGCCAAAGGGAAAGATTCCTTCAATAAGGTGTTGTGAAAGTAACTAATAATCATCTAACTTCACTGCCTATGGCCTTCTCCAAGGCTGGTACCTGAGTATCCTAACCCCAGGACAGGCAATGCAGCTTCCTACAGCCCTCTCCAAGCATTTCCCTGAAGAGGACAAATCACAGCTGTCCTTCAGCAGGACTCACAGACTCAGCCCTGGAAAGCTGTGAGTTAGGGCTCACAAGTTTCCCTAAGGCGGCACATAAAGAATTCCCAGCATTGGGTCTGGAGAGATGGCTCAGTGGTTAAAAGCACTGGCTGCTCTGGCAGAGGACTCAGACCTGATTACTAGCACCCACATGGCGGTTCAGAACTGCAGCTCCAGCCTGAGGGGATCCAGCACCCTCTTCCGACCCCTGTGAGCACTGCACACATGGCGCAGACGTTCTTGCAGGTAAACCCACATACATAAAGAGAATGGGGAGGGGAGGCAACAGAAAAGAATATTCCTTTGCCATGAATTAAACTGAAAAAAAAATTTAAAGTTTAAGGTTAAATTCTTAGTCGAGGGATCAAGTTCATGGTAATGTCACTTCTCTGTTACAGATTAACGGTGACGTAGACAGGTACAGAACAGCCAATCCTAACAAACACCACATCTGAATTCTGTCACTAAGATCTTCCAACCGAAGTCCCTGCAGATTTGTTTCATGATAAATTCAGATAAGTTTTACTGATCTTATAAACATGTACGATTTGTTCCTTAATATAAAAAAATGTTCAAATAGTATCCTTTTAAGTGGGACAGTCCTTGTAACTTTATATGAAGTTATGATTTCATGTTTGTGAGCTGTTACAAAAAAAGCTAGCACCCTTGTCCAGGCAAAGTGCTGAACACGGAAACGTGAAGTTAAAAATAAAAGGAAAGGGAAGAGAAGACAAAAATCCTGGAGTTTGGCACTTGAAAACTGAGTCAGCTGAGGAAATCTGGATGGATGGTTTGGTAAGACAGCTCCTCTTGGATGCTGGGAGGAGTTGGAGCTGACAGAGGCAAGAACCTTTAGATAACACAAGAAAAAAGCAAAGCAATCGCCTTGATACCGGCCTGTGTAGCCAACACATTGAATTTGCAGGTCACAATTCCTAGTTCTGAGGACTTAGAAACCGGGCACTGCAGTAAGCAGCCTCCGTCTGCATCTGCATTAGAAATGCTTCCACATCGAAGAGCACAAGGCTCTTACTGCAGCAGCGTAAACTTCCTATAACAGATGCTGGGAGTGTAACTAACATAGCACCCAAGTATTGGGTGTGCTAGTCTACCAACTGAGCTCCTGTTCAGTTTTATAGAAAACGTAAATGTAAGCACAGGTTTTTGGTAGTGACTAAACATGATGTTTTTCAAAGTTTCTATAATATTTGAATGCAAAGATACGCTATAAACTCTTGCCCTAATACCCGTTCAGTTTCCTAAAGTCCACCCGTGAATATAAACACATGTGAAATGACATGCTTTCCTATAAAGGAAATATGTCTGACACTCCTCTGCCTGGCACCTGGCCAGCAGCTGCCCACTGGAGCTGCTGAACTTTAAGAGGAGGTAACACTTACATGAGGACATTTGGGGCCAGTTGAACAATCAAATAACCAATCAGTTGTTTCCCTGCCTTAGCCACCAAACTATTTTTCTTTTCAGGAAACATTTCCACTCACCAAGCACAGTTTTGAACACTGAGGCTCCTAATATAAAGTCTCCTTTCAAAATATCCACATTCAAAAATGAAAGCAACAAACACTCTCAAGCTTGGTGTGGTGATGATCCTTGTAATCCCAGCATTCCTGAGGGTTAACCTCAGCTACACAGTAAATCTGAGGATATCTCAGGTTATAAGAGGCCCACACTCAACAGATAAATGCACACAACCCTAAAACCTGCATTACTGTTTCCAAGTACTTTCCTTCAGTAAAATGGAATGTTTTGGTAGACACAATACAGAGCTGAAGTGGGTAAGAGCACAAGGATGAAGAGTAACTAGATCTCCACAGTAGTGAAGGCTTAGCCAGCTATTCAAAGTAAGGTGATGGCAATCCAAACTAGACTGTTAGAAATTACGATATTAACTAGCAACAAGGAAAAACCGCTGAAACTATAAAAGAATGGCAAAGAAATTAAAATAGTATAGCAGAACGACTAGTGAGATGACTCAGTAGTTAAGAGCACTGGCTTCTCTTCCAGAGGACCCAGCACCCAGATGATGGCTCACAACCACCTGTAACTCCAGCTCCAGGGTTCAACACACTCTTCTGGCCTCCGTGGGCAGACAGCTAGGCAGACAAAACATCCATACATGTGATATAAAATAAACAAATCTTGGAAAACAAATAGTTTGCCAAAGTACAATCTATTAAAATAAAACAAAACAACCAGAAAAGGAGAACTAGAAAAAGAGAAAAGGTATCAGACACAAAACAGGGAGAAAAACGGTCAAAACTCTATTTCATCAGTAGTTTTACTACTAAAAGAATTAAATATTCCAGTCAAAAAGCAGATAGGCAAACTAGAAGAAAAAAGCCAGGATCCAATAGAGAGCATCCTACCACGGCACAAGGCTTAGTAAATTTAAAAGGCCTGATATCAAAGGAGCATGCATTTCCAATCAGAAAAGACCAAAAACAAACCAATGATGAGCTACAGATCTTTTTGTTTATTTTTTGAGACAGGACCTTGCTAATACAACAAGCTGGCCTCATACTCTGCTCTTCCTGCTTCAATCTCCTGAATGCTGGGACTACCAGAATGTACCGGCATGCCTGCTGGTAAGTCTTCCTGGCCTTAGAAGAGGGAATAAGGGTCCTGTACACGATATTAAAATATGAGCAAAGAAGAGACCTCAACAAAGCCCTGTGCTTCAGAATAATCAATAATCAATGCAGCCCGGTGACAGCGTGGAGAGGCACACTGCAGCTTCAACTGCTGGAGAAGCATCTTTTACTAAAGCACGAATGGCCACTACCAGGCAATAATGAAAAGGGAACTTGGTTTTAAAATTAGCAAATATCTGACATTTCTGCTAAAAAGACAGGCAACCTGTGAGTGAGCTCAGGTAAGAAACAGCAACAGACTCAGCCACCATGGAAAGATAAAGCAGAACCACAACAGGGTGTCACTCCAAACTGAGCAGGATGCTGCAAGCACAAAGACACTCTGACAATTAGTCCTGGGATGTGGGGAATTTGCAACCGACACCTCACTGATGGTCACTAGGCAAGTGTGAAACTGCTTTAGAAATCACTTTGGCTGTTTCTCCAAAGATGAACACACAGTTGCTTTCCAACCTAGAGTCTCCCCAATGGGTGTTACCCAAACCACATCTATCCACAGAAAGACTTGTACTAAAACCACAGCGACTATGCTGGAGTGATGCCTCAATGCTTAAGAGTACTGGCTGCTCTTGCAAAGGATCTGGGTTCTGTTCCTAGCACCCACATCATGGCTCACAACCATCTCTAACTCCAGTTCCAGGGGATCCAATACCTCTTCTGACCTTGGCAGGTACTAGGCATCTACGTGGTTCATAGACATACACACTGGCAAAACACTCACATGCATAAAATAAATAAATCTTAGAGGGGGAGGGGCGAGCTATTGATAACCTGCTACACAAAGACAGACATGAAAGTCTACCTTAATTACACAAGCCCTCCAGAAAGGGCAAGTGTACAGAGAAAGCTGGCTATGGTTGCAGAAGGCTGGTTACTAGTACAGATGGGTTTCTTTCTGGGGTGAAAGTTACACAACTGTGTGACTATACTAAAAACAACTCAATTATAGGCCTAAATTCTATGCATCACACTGAAACTAAGCTTAAGTACTCCACCCTCCCCGTGAGCTTCCCTACTATCAAACAAGCTGTACCTATTTTTCCTACTGGAGAAATAGTAACACAATAACTGGGAACCTCCCTCAGGACTTCCTTGCAGCTCTGCAAACTTCTAAAGAGAAAAAATGAAAAATAAGCCAAGCAGAATTCCCATGAACACTGTGCACTGGGAAAGAGGCCAGTGTGTGTGCTGAAGATGAGGTCACCTGACAGACCAGGAAGGCTTGCAGCTCCCGGCCCTAGTGTGCCTCGAGCTCAGCCCACACTGTGTGGACTGTGTGTGGATACAGGCCTGCAGGCACATTTGTGAACTCAGTAGAAAATGGTCTCACAGAACTTCCTTTCAAAGGCTCCTGTTAAGGGCTGTGTTTTACCATGCATTGGTGAATCTTCATCAGCAAACAGGTTGGGTTCTAGTTCTTTCAAAGAGCTTCTGCCTTCAAGTCGGGCGAGGAGCTTACAAAAGAAAGAGAGAGGAAAATATTATTTAAAAGGACACAAAAGCCTAGAAATTATATTTATGTAAGTTTCAAAAAAAAATCTTTAAGACCATATTTTGAAGACTTAAAGTATTAAACCAGAAATATAACTTAGGATAAATAGTTTATGTTTAAAAGATTTTATTGTTGATCTGTATGTGTGTATATGAGCCATGTGTATACAGGTGTTGTAGATCCTGGATTTGGAGTTAACGGCAGTGGTGAGCACCACTGTGGGTGCTGGAAGCCTAATGGGTCCTCTGCAGGAGCAGCACACACTTTTAACTGCTGAGCCATCTCTCCAGCCCCTCCTCTTCTTCTTTTTTATAATTTTTTTTTTTTTTTTTTAAGACAGGGTCTTCCACTGTTATACAGAGAAACCCTATCTGGAAAACAATCCACCTATCAACAACAACAAAAGACAGGTCTTCCTATGTAGCCATGGCCAGCCTGGGACTCACTATATAAATCAGGCTGGTCTCTAAAACTCAGAGATCTACCTGTTCTCTGCTTCCCAGTTGTATTAAAGGCATATGCCCCATGCTCAGCCCTGTTCATTTATTTTTAAAATATTTAACTTTTAATTTACATACCAAATCTATTGATGTCAAAAGAGTCTGATCCCTCAAAGGAATGGATAGCAGCTGTAGGGTATAAGGCCAAATTTCTAAGGGCAAACTATTTACCGTCAGTGTATTTTACAATAATATTTTTGTGCTTAAATCAGTTATACAGTGCTGATTTAATTTGTCCCATTTTATCTGGCTGGGGAAGGGTCAAAGGGGAAAGGCAGAGGAAAGGTTTCCTAAGCAGCTCTAGGCTTAGCTGTGTTTTAGAAGTAAGTAGGAGTCCAAGTACACGGGCCACATGCAAGTGGACCAGGCTTGAGAGATGGGTGCAGCCAAAATGCGTAAGGAGCACGCTGTGCAGGCAAAGTACAAGCGGACTTGAACTGTAGGAGCTTGTTGCAAGAACCAGGCAGGAAGAATACTTGATTGATTTTAGAACCACAGAGGACAAACACCTCTGGCCATGTCTCAGAGTATTCCAGGAGGTTAAACTGAAGAGGAGAGAACCTCCATCAATGTGTGAGGTACCATCACAGGGGCTAGGGTACCAGACTGAGTAAAAAGGAAAGCAAGTAGTGCTAAAACATTCCGACCAAAAGCAACTTAGAGGAGGAAAGGGTTTAACTGGCTTATACTTCCAGGTCACAATTCATTGAGAGAAATCAGGGCTGGAATAGCAGAAGCCAGACAGAGAAAGCATGGAGGAACACCGTTTGTTTGCTCTCTGCCAGTGTTTAGCTGGCTCTCTTGAAAAGCCCAGGGCCAGCACCAATCGATGGTACCTACATAGTGGGCAGGGCCCTACAGGATCAATTAACAAACAGGACAGTCCCCCACAGACATGCCTGTAGGTCAATCTGATCTAGGCAAATCCTCAGTTGAAGCTTTCCTCTCAGGTGATTCTAGCCTGTGTCACAAGACAATTAAAGCTCTCTAAGGCAAATGCCTTGAATGTTTCTTTATTTACTGACTGAGGACGCAGTGTGACGAGCCATCTCAAACTCCTGCTCTCATGCATTCCCTCCCCAAAGGACTTCAGTCAAAACAAACTTTTTGTCCCTTGAGTTGCTTTTGTTGGGTGTCTGGTCACAGCATTGAGAAGAGCAACTACCACAGAAGACAAGGAGCTGGCCTCTGCTGTGATAAGCCTGACTCCATGCTTCCTGCCTCTGGAACTGCTTTGCAGGAGCAATGTGGAAGAGTTTACAGCTATGGGCAGAAAAGCTCTAGAAAGCTATATGCAGAGCTGAATAGGTCATCCTGGTGGAAGGTTGGAAGGTCAGAATGCAGGGAGAAATGTGGACAGCGAAGGCCTAGTTCCATTTAGATGGCTAGAAGGATTCAAGCTACATTTAGCAAAAAATCTGGCAGCGCTCTGAACTTGGGTATGGCTGAACTCCAAAGTAATGAATGTATCTGTTTGGTGGTGGAAATCTCAAGACAGGACAACATTTAGGTCATGTCCTTGTTACAGGAATATAGACTGCAAGAGTGAGGGGGTCATGGAGTTTTATGCCATAGTTCTAGAAAGCTGGGAAGACCAGCAATGTGTGGCAGGTTTGGAGGTCAGTATGTAAAGCTGTGATGATGAAGGCCACATTTCAACAGTGACCTCAGAAGACGCCAGGACCATCAGATATCCCCTGTGGAAATCTGTAGCATGGAGTGGCTCAAGAGAGCAGCTCTGTGTGTTGCAGGCCAGAGCTGAAATGAAGAGGCTTCCCCATGTCCTTTGGAGTTATAGGAACATGAGAGGCAGCCATAACCTGAGGGCACTGTGTTTTTACCTGCCCAGAATGAACTACTCTATCCCACTCATTCAAGTGTTCAGACCTGAGTAATAATTTACACAGGTCCCCTGTGATGACTAAACAAACTTACTATGGAGCCAGGTATCCGTAAAGGTCATTGACCTTTTGCTCTGGAATGCCTGGAAGAACCTAGTGGCCTGCAGATGAGATAAGAATAGGATGATGGCTGGTAGCACACGCCTTTGATCTAAAGCATTGGGGAGGCAGAGGCAGGTGGATCTCTGAGTTGGAGGCCAGCCTGCTCTACAAAGCAAGTCCAGAACAGCCAGGGCTACACAGAGAAACCCTGTCTTGAGATAAATAAAGAATAGGATAATGAGCTATTATTATTATATATTGGGAAAGACACAAATGAAGGAGAGAAAACCATTTTCCTTCCCAGTGGATTCCATGGCTAGTTGTAATACACACCTTTCTGATGCCTGCTTTAAACGCCCCCTCAACCTTCCTTTTGCACAGCTGTTTGACTCTAAGGCTGCTGTCCTTAGCAGTAGGAATACAATTAATCGAAATTTGATTCGTGCCTGTCTTAGGTTTCCCCTGGAGGATTCGAATGCCATACCAGAGCCTCATTCCACCAAGAGTGCCAGGTAAATACGGGGCTACAGGTTTAACATTTGTACAGCTGGGTTTCGGCCTTGCTTTGCTTTGTACTACCGCCAGTCATTGATGTCACTGTGAAAGTAGCTTATTTGCTCTTTACAGACCACAAGAGCATGGATTTTGGGCTTTAACATGGTTTCTAGTGTCAGCACAGACCACGAACAGGGCTCCTGGTTGCTGTAGAGCCACAGACCCAGATAAGACCCTTGGATGCAGCTGGGACTGTGGACATCAACATGGCTTCTGGATGTAGCATAAACCATGGACACTGCCTGACATTCAGTGGCGGCATAGGTCATGGACATCAACACAGTTGTGCCTACGATAAGACCACAGACCCAGACATGGCTCTCTGCAGCAGCACAGACCTGGACATTATGATGGCCTTGGCTTCAGGCCCCCAGCAGCAACATGGCTTCAGGTTGCAACATAGACCACAGACATCCGCATAGCCTTTAGTGGTAGCATTGACAGATATCGACATAGATCTGTCCTCAGTGGCAGCACAGGCCTATTGACCAGGTAGCAGCGCAGGCCACCCACATGGTATGGCCCCTGGTGGCCAGCCAGCATTTCTTAACTGGAAAGCTCCAGGTCCCAGTGACAGACTTTGTCTCAAGAAACAATGTGGGCAGCTCCTGAGGAGCAAGACTGAAGCTGGCTTCTTGCTTGCTTGAATGTACTCATTGAAAGAAAGGAAGGGAAGGCAGGCAGGCAGCCGGAATGGGCAGTGGGAAGGCTAAGAAGCAGTTGCCCTGATGTCTGTATGATTAATGTGGACATCTGGCTCTATCACAGATATTCTCTAAAAGCAGAGGATGTGCTGGCTTGTTTTTATGTCACTTTGACATGGTCTAGAATCATCTGGGAAAACAGAACCTCAATTAAGAAAATGTTACCACCAGACTGCCTGTAAGGATGCCTGTGGAGGCATTTTCCTAATGTTTCTGATGTGGGAGGGCCCAGGCCATTGTACAGGGTACCATCCCTGGTCTGGTGGTCCTACGTGGTATAAGAAAGCAGGCTGAGAAAGCCAGTCAGCCACACTCCTCTGTGGCCTGTGCTTTTTCTGCTTTGACTTCCCTGGATCATGAGCTATAAGATGAAATAAACCTTTTTCTTCCCAAGTGGCTTTTGGGTGCAGTTTTATCATAGGACAGAAGACTAGAGTGAGGCCCATGACTATAGTTTCTGATGCGAGGGAGGTTTAGGCTAGGGGATCTCAAGTTTCAGTGTTGCCTGGACAATACACTGAAATTCTATCTCAAAAATGTTAAATATAATGTAATAAAATCAGAAGACTAATTCTTTCCACATGTGAAATTAGACTCCTCAGCTACTTCCAAAATTCAATTGCCCTTTACGGCATAGACCCAGGCTTGGATCTTGAACAAAGCATTTGTCTATATTACACAGAAAGACAACTGTTACTCCAGTATGATATAGCTAATCCCAGGGCTCTAAATTTATTCCCAGAAGGGCTGCTGCTTTATAATTACTTTTTTTTAAAAGCCATCATTTTATAAGAGTAAAAGACAAATGCATAAAAGTCAAATGAAGCTATAAGATATGCCTATTTAAGCATTACTTTCACAAGCAATTTATGGAGGCTAGAATTTCAACTTAATAAATTAGTATTTCATTAGGTATATGATTAAGTTTTAATTGAGAAGGGTACTTCAGAGGTGGCTCCGTAGGTAAAGTGCTTGCTGTGCACGCCTGAAGACTTCAATTCAGATCCCCAGACCCATGTAAAGCCAGGCAGGTGCAGTAGTGTACATATGTGTCACTTGGGAGGGTAGAGACAGGAGGACCCCTGTAGCTTGCTCGCCCATCAGCCTACCTGCAGCATGGGATAGGTACATGTACACACAAACACACAGATGTTATTGGGCAGTTACAGCGGACTATGCTGAGAAAATACGGCATCGATTTTTTATTTAACCCCGTTGCTGATTACTGAACCCAGGACCTTGTGCATGCTAGGTGTGCTGGTTAGTTCTTTGTTGACCTGAAACATCTAGAGTCATTGGGAAGCTTCAGCTGAGGTCTCTAGGAGGAAACTCTGTGAGACGTTTTCTTGGTTAACGAGGGAGGGCCTAACCCACTGTGGATGGCACCCACGTCCCACCACGCCTCTGCCGGTAGGCCTACGAGGTATCCCTCCACGGCCTCTGCCTTGATTTCCCTCAATGATGGGCTGTGATTGCGAAGTGTAAGCCGAACTAACCCTCTCCTTCCCCGTTGCTTTGTCATGTAGTTAACACAACAAACAGAAAAGCAAGACAAGCAGACAGTGCTGTCGGAGCCACACTGAGCCATTATTGTGTGACAGGGCTAGGCAGTACAAAGGTTCCCCCATCTTGTATTCTTGCTGAGGCTCTTTCAGGTTTAACTAGAATCTGATCTCCTTGATGGAGAATCCCATGGAAAACAACCCAGATCTACCTAGGAACCAAAGGTCAGGATGTCCTAGCTAACTTACCTGAGTTTTCGTTAAAACTATCTGTTTGTGCAGGAACCCCCTCTAGCTAACTGTTCATATCTTAGTTGCCTGTTTGTGAGACAACTGTTTGGAGGCCTCCTCCAGCTGGCTGAGTATTTTGAAACTGCCTGCCTCAAACTGCTTACTCTTTGAACCCCTTCCCCCCACAGCTGCTAAGAGAGATGCCTCGGTAAGGTCTCAGCCCTTAAAAACTCCATGTTCTGGACAATCCTAGGTCTCTAAACACTGGAGTGTAGTGCCAGCCAGCTGGAATAAAGACTTCCAATTGGCTATAAGCTGTCTGAGTGTTCATCTCTGGTGGGCTACCAGGAACAAAAGGAGCCTGAACACTTTTACCGTAATGTGAACATATTCACCCTATGTGTGCACATGCAGGTATGGCATAGCACATGTGGTGAGGTCAGAGATCAGCCTGTGGAAATCAGTTCTACTCTTCTACCAAGTGGGTCCTGGGCAATCAAAGTTGGTTAAAAGGCTTCATGGCAAGCCTTTTACCCATTAAGGGCCTTGCTAGCCTCTACCCTCCTATTTTGAGACAAAGTCTCATGTAGCCCATGTTGGCCTCAGACTCACTCTGAAACAGGATAGCCTTGAACTCTTGCTACCATGCCTGCTTTTATGTGGTGCTGGAGATCAAACCCAGAACCCGAGCATGCTAGGCTAGCATTCTACCAATTGGGCGAGTTACAGCACCAGCTTTGCAGGAACTTTGGATGGCAGAATGCTGACCACTTTCATGGGAGGTAAAGTTTGGTGACATTCTCTCATCCTCTTTGTATTAGTTACCTGTCTCATTGCTGAACCAAAAACAGCTGACAAAAGCAGCTTAAGGGAGGAAGAGAAAGAAGGGAGGAGGGGAGGGCCACTTTATTTTGTTTACAGTTTCAGGAGACAAAGACTACCATGGTGGAGAAGGTATGATGGCTGATCACATGGCATCTACAGTCAGGAAGCTGAGAGTGATGAATACATGTGCTCAGCTCGCTTTCTGCTTTTATTCAGTACAGGACCCCAGCCCATGGCAGAGCCTGTCTTCCCACCTCAATGAACCCAACCTAGAAAATCCCTTATACGTATGACCAGGGATTTGTTTCCATGGTGACTTAACATCACATCAAGTTGACAATTGAAATAAACCGTCATGATCTTCTAACTTTCCCTAAGGAAGAAAAGTTCATTTGCACATGCTCCCACTCCCCCATGCTCCTCACTCCAACACGGCTTTGAGGCAGGTTACAATAAACCTTAGGTATCCTGGAACTCACTATGTAGTATAGGCTGGCCTCCCATGCTGGGAAGCAGCACTGGCCTGGCTACAGGTCTGCTGACGGGCGTTTTAAGAGCAGGGAATACTCTACTGTGTGTGGCAGTGTAAAGGTTGCTGATGATGCTGATGGCAGAACTGGGTGCCTGGGAGTTAAAGAAGCAGAGGCAGAGGCAGAGGGCACAGCCCACTCTGTAACAAGCAAAGAAATGGGACTAGCGGTGGGAGCATGGCCAGGTAACACCTTCTCGGTTTTGTTTTTATTTAAAGTTGGGAAACACCTTCTCGGTTTTGTACTTTATCTTAAGTTGTGATTCTGGCAAAAAAAAAAAAAAAAAAAAGTAGGAAAAAAAATGCAGAAACCAAACATGGTGGTGCTTGCCTTTAATCCCAGTACTCAGGAGGCAGAGGCATCATGAGTTCAAAGACATGTTCCGGCTACGTAGTTCAAGGACAGCCTGGACTACATGAGACCCTGCTTCAATAAAACAAAAACAACAACAGAGAGAAGTACAAAGGAAAATGACCGTAGGAGTAGCATGGTGAAATCCTTTCCTCTTCATTTTAAAAGTGTACTTTAGTCAAGAGGTGGGGTTGTACATCTTCAATTCCAGTGCTGGGGAGGCAGGGGCAGGCAGATCTCGGTGAGTTTGTAGCCAGCTTGGTCTACAGAGCAAGTTCAGGGCAGCCAGGGATACACAGAGAAATTATGTCTCACAGAAACAAACAAACAAACAAACAAACAAAAAAGTGTATTTCAGGGGCCAGAGCAATGGCTCACTTGCTGTTCTTGCAGGGGGCCCAGGCTCAAGTCTTAGAAACCACATGGTAACTCACAACTATCTGTAACTCATTTTCAGGGAATCTGAAGATAGATCGTTCTGGGTTCTGTGTGCCCAGGCATGTACAAGGTATATACATACACGAGGCAAAACATTTATGTAAATGAAATTTAAAAGTTTATAAGTTTGTGATTACACAAAACTAATTATTTTTAAGTAAATATTACTTGTCTTATTTAATATTTGTCTCTGGCAAAGGGCAGCCCTGTAGCTTTCTTTTCCCTTTGAAAGCCAGTCATTTGAAAAACCACTGTCATCAATATTTATAGTGTGTATTATACTGGTGACATGCTCAGTGAATTTAGAGAAAAGGCCTGGCCTGGGAGCTAGGAGAGAAGTGGGAAACAGTGCCTGTGTGTGCGTGTCTCTGCTTTACAACGAGAGATGCAAACTCCACCTATTTCTTAGAGCTCACTTCCCAACATTCTGTTTCAGCTCTATAGGACCACTAGCTATTCCCCTAAATCAGTGGTTTTCAACCTTCCTAATGCTGAGACCCTTTGATACAATTCCTTATGTTGTGGTGACCCCAACCATAAAATTATTTTTGTTGTTACCACATAACTGTAATTTTGTTACCATTATGAATCATAGTGTATTTTTTGAGATAGTTTGCAAAATGGGCTGTGACGCACAGGTTGAGAACTTTGCCTTGCATGGTGCCTTCGCTAAATTCAGAGCATACCTGAGCTTCCTCTGCTTAATCTGTCACCACCACTTCCTCTTCCTCCACAAACCACTTCAGATGGTCCTTAAAATTCTAGCGTGGGGCTGGGAATTGTAGCTCTGTTGGTAGATCCCCTGCTTATTCATGCCTTTTCACTTGGCAGTGCAGAACCAGGCATGGTGGCACACACTTGTAATCCCAGCATTTGGGAGGGAGGAGGAGCAGCAGTTGAAGGTCAGGAGCTGGAGAGATGGCTCGGAAGTGAAGAATGGATACTGCACTTACAGAGAACATGAGTTTGGCTCGGGTGACTTTGCTTGTAACTCCAGCTACATCTTTTCCTGTCCTCCTCTGGCCTCCAAATACATCAGCAGTCATGGGCACATAACAACCCACAGACACACATGCATTTACTTCATTTATATAAGTAAATAAATAAATAAAGTTCAAGGCCAGCTTGAGCTACCTTCATCCTGTCTGAACACATTAAGTCATCACCATCTATTTTACAGATCCTCTTTTGGAGTGGCATGCATTAGCACATACTGTACATTTTAAGGCAGTTTAGATTATTTGTTTGAGAGGCGTCTCACCATGTAGCCCTGGCTGGCCTGGAACTGCCTATGTAAACCGGGCTAACTTCAAACTCACGGAGACCTGCCTGCCTCTGCCTCTTTAGTGCCGGAATTCAAGGCGTGCACTGCCACGCCTGCCCACTTTTTGTTGTTCCTTAGTCTTTAACTCTTGGCTGACACAATATTTGTGCCAGTAACACACGTGGTTAACGGTTCCATTCCTGAATGAAACGGCTTGCGTGGCTCTGAAGAGACAAGGCGTGGTACAAGCAGGTTAGGGAGGGGAAGCAAGCTACCTAAACAACACCTATTCCATAACACGTCCGCAGCTGCCTCAACGAGTGGTCCTCCCTTTCCTCAGTTCCTGCAGCACAGCTCGCCATCGCGCAATGGTTCCCTGGCGGCTGTCGCGCCGTCCCCACAAGGGCTCCGGGCCGCCGGGAGACCTCCCTTTGTGGTCCGCGGCCTTCCTGCCGCCCCGCGGCTCTCACCTCTGTCCCGGATTCGGCCCTGCGAAAGTCGCTGCACATCGCCCCGCCAGCTCCTCGGATTTAACTTTCCCGCCGGCAAGGCCATTTAGCCAGAGAGGTGACAGTAGGACCAGCGGCCCCGCGTGCGCGTGCGCATCCCGCGGGCTCGGAGCCAGAGAGGCCGGGAGCATGCGCAGTAAAGCGGCGGCGCCCTCTCGGTGACGGCAGACTCCTGCGCCTCCCCAGGCCTTTCGTTTTCGTCTGTTAGTAACCTCTGATTTTTAAATTTTATCTATCTCTATCTATCTATCTATCTATCTATCTATCTATCTATCTATCTATCT